CTTTCTTGCTTTTTCTTTTTCTCTCTTTCTCTCCCTTCCTCTTTCTTGCCCTTCCTTCCTTCCTTCCTTCCTTCCTTCCTTCCTTCCTTCCTTCCTTCCTTCCTTCCTTCCTTCCTTCTTTCCTTCCTTCCTTCCTTCCTTCTTTCCTTCCCTCTCCCTCTCCCTCCCTCCCTCCCCCCCTCTCTCTCTCTCTCACACACACACACACACACACACACACACACGAGTGGGTGGCAGGAGAAGAAGAAAGTAAGCCGCCATCCCTTTCAGAGCTCCTCTGCTGACACTTGCTTCTCCTGAGCGGCAGAGGCTCTCCAAAAGGGAGGGCGGAAACTCCCGGGACTGCTTTCGGTGTGCGGCAGTGGCACACCCTTGCCCCACCCCGATCCTACCATAGGAAATGGGCAGCCTTCGGCATGTGCCAGCAGCGACAGTGGCAAGGGGCTTTGAGCACCCCCCACCCCGATCCTCCCCAAAGAAACAGACCTCCATGTGTGGTGGCGGCCAGGGGTGGCTGCTCAAGCACGAGGAGGTACTTTAGGAGGGCCAGGGAGGGCTGTTCAAAGCCCGCAGCTCACTGAGCCGCAGCCACCATGTGGTAAGAAGAGCTGGCATGCCATGTGGCAGCTTAGCCAGCCAGCCGAGGCTGGGGATGGGTGGGGCAGATACGTAGGCTGGGCAAGGCCTGGGGAACCCCCGGAGAAGGCAGTGGGAGGCCCAGGAAGCCCCATAGATGGCTGCAGGAGGCCCTGGGAGCTCCAGAGATGGCAGTGGGAGGCCCTAGGAGCCCTGGAGGAGGCAGTGGGAGGTCCAGGAAGCCCCAGAGATGGCTCCGGGGGCCCCTGGGAGCTCCGGAGATGGCAGCGGGCAGGTAACAATGGCTGCCCTGATGGGCAGGCAGAAGCAGGCTGCAGGCATGTCATGCATGCGCATGATGTTGCGCATGTGCAATAACAAAAACCGGTTCCAGGAACGGAGGAGCAGGCGGAGATGGCTGGGGCCAGGGGTCCATTTTACCAGTTCTCTGAACTACCGGGAACCATAACAACCAGTTCTATAGAACCGGTCCGAACCGGTAGAGTCCCACCCCTGAGTGTAAGCAATATAGAACCATAATAAGGGAAAATAAATAACGCAACTATCTACCAAAGAAAAACGGAATGACACAGTTCAGTTGATTTAAAAAAAAAAAAAGAAAAAAAAACAAACCCCCCCCCCCCAAGCTTTGCAAAATTTCATCTTAAAATTTTTTGAGGGCATTAAAAGGGAAATTGTGAGTCTGAATTCCAAGGGAAAGATAGTCCATAAGGCTTGGCAGTGACTGAGAAACAAGAGATGTGTCTTTGGTTTCCCTTGTCCCATGTCAGTGGAGCACCTCTAAAAGCTTCTCAGGGGAAGTGCTGCCAGGTGGAGTTTCTGCAGGGTTTTGGGAACCTTATTTTAATCAATGGATCTTCCTTTTGGATAGGTATGAATAGGATTATGCAATTAATGTGCGTGGGATTGCCATCTAAACTTGAATGAAAATCAAGTTTTAAAATCAAGTTTTAATTATAATTAGAATGCAATCATTCTTACATTTCTCCTAAAGCAATAACATCAAACCTACTATTGTCAAATATTAATTGCTGCATATGTTCTTTTCTTTCCTCTCTATATGTAAAGACATACCCATTTTTTTTCTTATTTGAGTGACATATTGGAAGCAGCTGATGATTACATGACTTCATTTCCATGTCAGTTTTGTTCTTAAGCCTACAGATGTGATTTGAACAGGGAAAAGGTGAATATATTCTTAGGTATCTGTATTCATATAAGGCACACATAGGCATCTGAAATCTTTATAATTCCTTATAGTGCTGTCATGCTGCAAAACCCTCCATGCTCATTAAATTGGAGACAATACTGAAGGATGAGATTTCTGAATGAAAAAGAATACTGTTGCTAAATTCAGGTAGTTCTCAACTTACAACTATTTGTTTCTCAACCATTTAAAGTTACAACAGCACTGAAAACAAAAAGTGACTTATGACTGTTTGTGACTGTTACAGCATGCCTGTGGTCCCGTGAACAAAATTCAGTTGCTTGGCAATTGACTCATATTTATGACGGTTGCAGTGAGGCCATTTTGTGATCTTCTGACAAACCAAGCAAAGTCAATGGGGAAGCCAGATTCATTTAACAACTGTATTACCATGTGGGTAATACATGGGATAAGTCTGCCTACCAAGATGAGGTGGACCGGTTGCTTTCGTGGTGTGGAGACAATAACTTGGTCCTCAACACCAATAAGCTTATAGTGGACTATAGAAGGAACAGATCTGACATCCAGCCCTTGCTTATCAATGGAGACCGAGTGGAGCAAGTGGCCAGTTTTCAGTTTCTGGGTATTGCTATAAAAGAGGACCTGACCTGGGGTGCCCACATTGCAGCCCTGGTCAAAGGGGCTCAGCAGAGATTATATTACCTGAGACTTCTCAGAAAACAACAACTGAGTGAAAAACTGCTGGTGACCTTCTATCGCTGCACCAGAGTATCTTAACTTACTGCACCTCTGTATGGTTTGCCAATTGCACAGTGGCAGATAGGAAAGCACTCCAGAGGGTTAACGTCATTGCCCAGAAGATCATTGGTTCCCCTCTCCCCTCTTTGGAAGAGCTTTATAGCTCCCACTGCCTTAAGAAACTTCAAAACATTCTCAAAGATCCATCTCATCCTGGGCACCCTTTTTTTGAACTATTACCATCTGGCATAGATGGTACAAAATAATAAAAACAAGGACAAATAGGCTGAAAAACAGCTTCTATCCCAGGGCAGTAGCTCTTTTGAATTCTGCTGTATAGTGCAGTGTTGGTGTGGTGTCGGGGATTTTCAATTCAATGTGTGGAATATGAAGGATGTGTGTTTGTGTTTATTTTCATGGTCATGATGTGCACTGAAGACGGTGTTTGATTTCGTTGTACAAGATGCAATGACAATAAATTAATTATTGGAGGCAATACTGAAGGATGAAATTTCTGAATGAAAAAGAATACTGTTGCTAAATTCAGGTAGTTCTTGACTTACAACCATTTGTTTGTCAACCATTCAAAGTTTCAACTGAAAAAAGTGACTTATGACTGTTTGTGACTGTTACAGCATGCCCGTGGTCACGTGAACAAAATTCAGATGCTTAGCAATTGACTCATATTTATGACGGTTGCAATGTCCTGGGGCCATTTTGTGATCTTCTGACAAGCAAAGTCAATGGGGAAGGCGGATTCATTTATTACCATCTTAAGAACAGCAGTGGTTCACTTAACAACTGTAGCAAGAAAGGTTGCAAAATGGGGCAAGACTCACTTAACAACTGTCTTGCTTAGCAATGGAAATTTTAGGCTTAGTTGTGGTCGTAAGTTGAGGACTATCTGTAGTAGCACTCATCATTTCTTAGTAGTTTGTCCTTGTGTCTGTATCTGTAGTTGATCTTAAACTAGAATGTAATTTTGTCGGTGACTGATTAGAAGCAGTATGTTGTCTTCCCAGGTGACAGGAACCACGTACAGCAGATTTACTATAAAATGATTTCTTTTACAGTTTATTGCATTTGGAAATAAGAAATCAAACAACGCCAGTTCATTACTTGGATATTACAATTATGTTTTAAACAAGTGAGCTGAAAAGGAGGAAGATATCAGTTTGAAAGAAGAAAGCGGAGGTGAACTTTAGAAATGTATTGTATGCAGAACGATGACATATAAGAGTGAATTGTTCAGCGGTGGAAAAAGAAAAATCAGGACTTGTTCAGAAGACTGCAATTCAATGATGGCAAAAGGAGGAAATTGCTGGTTGTCTCTTTTTCATCTCATTATAGACTGCAACACTTATAAAAGTGGAATAAATTTACATAACTTCTTTTAGGAGGAACATTAGTGTCATGCCCCTGTTGGAGACTGACTCAGAGGGAGAGGAGGAACAGCCAACAGGGAGTGGAAGTGTGGCTCTGGAGGTTGTGGAGGAGGCTGGGCAGTCAGAGGAAGACCAGGCCCATCCCCTCTCTATCCTAGGGCATGCAGGGAGGAAAGGATAAGGGAGAGACGTGAATGGCATGGTCTACGGGGGAGGAAAGGGCCTTGATCCTCTTCATGCGCTGCAGCTATGAGAACTGGTTAAAAGGACGGACATGCGTACAGGCCAGTGCTGGAAACAAAGTGTGGAAATATCTCTAGTGTATTGTTCCTCTGTGAGTTTCCCAGTCCTTCCCAGTGTGTGTTCCGATATCTGTGGACGTCTTCAAGCCCTTATCTCGCCTGCTTCCCTTAATTGCTTCAGTGTGGTTTGTGTTGTTTTTACTCTTTATAATTTGTAGGCATTTTTAGTTTAAATGGCATTTCCTCCTTTTCATCACTGCTTGTGGGAGAATTTTTTGTCTCCAGTCAAGGATATTTGGAGCTTTGAAGCAAAGTGAAGGAATAGAAGGGGCTTCAACCTGTTTTTGTGACTGTGTTTATTTTGTATCCCACCCTGGGTCATCACAGCAACAATTA